CATTCCTGAATGAAATATGCTACCTAACACACACACACACACACACACACACACACACATATATATATATATATATATGTGTGTGTGTGTGTGTGTGTGTGGATGTGTGTATTTGGTTTGTGTGTGTGTTTGTCTGTTGATTCCCCGTGGAAATATTGTATAAAATTTCAATAGATTTAAGTAATATCATTAAAAATCAATTAACTCACTTTTTGACATTATTGAAAAAAAACTAAACGGCAATGTTTGTAGTGTGCTGTGAAATTTATAGGCTCACTCTAGAAAATGACCAACAATATTTTCCCTCGTAGAAATAGATGATTAAAAATTGAGAAAAAAATAATTATTAATCAAGAAACTTCAGAGTTTCTTAAAATAATATTTAGCCTCTTCTGAAGTCTATGTTTTCTGTATAAATATGAGCGGGTAAATTAACATAATTTGTTTTTCACCAGGACTGGTTAAATGGTTGATGCGGACTGACTGAACTCTCGAAACCTTTTGCATAATTTATTACGTAACATTTCACATATTCGAGTAACGTAAAAATCTATCGATTTAAAACAAATTAACACACTTTAAACACACGATGTGAGTTTGTAAATGAGCTTGAGTATAAGTTATAATACAGATTCCTGTCTCCTGACATACTACTTCTAGAAGATTATACAGATTGATGAAACAAAGTAAATACGTAACAATCTCCTTATATCTCGCCATTCGGTTTCTTCTGTCATACTAATGCCACTGATTCGGGTGTATCGTCAAGAATGAAAAGAATATATTTTTCTGTTAAGTTGTTTCGTAAATAATCTTTGTAAGTCGATCCTTTCAATTTCAAAGAAAACAAATGCACAATAATTCTTCTTCATTTTAGAGCTGCTTTAGAAGACAGTATATTTCTTCGTTTTCACATGCCTTTTCCGCTACACAGACACACACAGACACACAAACACACGCACGCACGCACACACACACACACACACACACACACACACACACACACACACACACACATATATATATATATATATATATATATATATATATATATATAATAGTGATCACGGTGACCATGGTCGGAAGCACTAGCGCACTCACATTGATATATATATATATATATATATATATATATATATATATAGATATTAGAGATAGATAGATAGATAGATAGATAGATAGATAGATAGATAGATAATGAACAATGATATAGTTTATATAGCGAGATAAATAATAAAGTGTCTTAGAGAGAGATAAAGAGACATAGATAGATAGACAGACAGACAGACGCATATGAACAAAGATATATAGATGAAATATCTTAGATATAGAGATGAAGAGATTTTCAGAAATAGATAGATACGCAAATTGTAAGATCTAACCATCTATCTTGATCTAGAAGTGTCTGACAGAGAGAGAAAGATTGATGAAGAAAGATATAGACAAAGATATAGTTTAGATAGATAGATAGATAGATAGATAGATATGAAAATTCTGAGATCGATACGTATGTAGATAGATATGAACAAAGAAATTTTTATAGATAGATAGTGTTTTCGAATGAGAGGGAGAGATTGAGAAAAATAGTCTTAGATATGAAAAAAAATTATATTTTCCATGCAGAGATATTTAGATAGATAAATAGATGAATTTTTTTACCTAGATAAAGAGAGTGGCAGAGATGAAGAGTTTTGATATGCATATATATATATATATATATATATATATATATATAGAGAGAGAGAGAGAGAGAGATAGATAGATAGATAGATAGATAGATAGATAGATAGAGTTTCTATAGACAGAGGTATATATAGGTAATAGATGAAGTGTCTTACAGAGAGATATAGATAGACAAATTATTAGGTCTTAGAAAATGAGAGATAGAGAGATTATGACCCTTAGATAGATCGATAGATGGATGAAATATCTTAGAGAGATGATGAGACTAAGATAGATATTTAAATAGGGATGAATAAAGATACAGCTTAGATAGATAGATAGATAGATAGATAGATATGAACAAAGATATTCTTTTTATAGATATAGATATATAGATGAAATTTATTGGATAGAGATAGATAGATAGATAGATAGATAGATAGATAGATAGATAGATAGATAGACAAATTATTAGTGGCTTGGACAGAAAATGAGAGAAAGAGAGAGATTAAGACCCTTTGATAGATCGATAGATGGATGAAATATCTTAGAGAGATGATGAGACTACGATATTTAAATAGGAAAGAACAGAGATAGATAGATAGATAGATAGATAGATAGATAGATAGATAGATAGATATGAACAAAGATATTCTTTTTATAGAGATAGATATATAGATGAAATATATTGGATAGAGATACAGAGATGAATAGACTTTCAGAGATAGATAGATGCATAGATAGATAGATACATAGAAAGACGATTCGTTTTAGTTAGATAGATAGATAGATAGATAGATAGATAGATAGATAGATAGATAGATATAAAAAAAAACATTATTTATATGGAGATATATGTATAAATAGATTAACTCTCTTAGAGAGATGAAGAGATTACACAGATAGATAGATAGATAGATAGATAGATAGATAGATAGATAGAAAACATTATTTATATGGAGATACATAGATCAATAGATTGACTCTCTAAGATAGAGAGAGATAGAGAGATGAAAAGATTACATAGATAGATAGATAGATAGATAGATAGATAGATAGAAAAAAACGTTATTTACATGGAGATATATGTTTAAATAGATTAACTCTCTTAGAGAGAGACAGAGAGATGAAAAGATTACATAGATAGATAGATAGATAGATAATGCCTCTATGAAAATGTACAGGTAAGTTAAGCACATTGCGAACACCTGCCTCACTTTTCTTACTTTCCATCATTTTCCTTTTCTCCTGCATTCTGTTGCACGTTTATGAGAATGTGAGCACATTTGCATGTGTCTATGCGTATGCTGGCATTCTCGTTTTTGTCTTAACATCCTTTACAGAATAATGGCGCTATGTTTACTTTTTGTACTGAAAAATCACCCTTCCATGCCCACGCTTATTTTCGATTCACAAAGCAGCATAATACATCTAATGACCCGAAGAATATCACGCACATTTTAAGGAAAGACCGACCCGAGATTAAAGGAACAGTATTCAAAATAGCTGCCTCTTCTTGTCCTTTTCTTTCCCTCTCTTCTATTTCATACATACACAATGACACTCACAAAGATGTGTGTGTACGTGTATGTGAGAGAGTGTGTGTATTTGTGTGTGTGTGTGTGTGTGTGTGTGTGTGTGTGTGTGTGTGTGTGTGTGTGTGTGTGTGTGTGAGAGAGAGAGAGAGAGAGAGAGAAAGTCTATAATATCTGTGAAGGTTGTCGCATGTTAGCCCGAGGGCTCTGCTGGTCCCTATTCGACCCTTGATGAAAGCAAATATCTCCAGGGCCTGCTCATATACGCCATCTTCTTCCTCCGCTACGAAGAGCAAATACATTCAATCTCTTGTAAAATTTCAAATACCAACAAAGCATTTATTTATTTGTAATGACAGTCTTGCAGAAAAACCAGAACACGATCTCGAGGTTGTTGCACACATCCCCCAGCTTGATTAACTCTTGTTACGTAATATAGGAATGACAGTTACAGTGACTTCGATCATCACACCGTACCTTGGATATATAAACTTGCTGTGTGGTAGCCACAGTGAGTTCGATCTTCACACAGTGCGACAATATTGTGACTCGTTCCAGTTTAGTTTGAAGCCAGTTATTATTTCTTTTTTTAACTTCCCAATAACAAATCCGTAAGATCTGACAAAGTTAACCTTGTTGCTGCTCTTGAAAAGGGCCTCCAATCTGTGTTTAACTGGGGCAGGAAATGACTTATTAATTTTAATGCCTCCAGAATAAAACTGCTATTTTTAAACCCCCATTAAGAAACTTTCCAGTCCGTCATCAGCATGGTTGATGTTAGACTCCTGAGAGCATCACACTGCGACTTCTTGGCCTCGTTTTTTTCAACTAACTTGAAGTAGAACTACAACATCGAATCAGTAGCTGAATCTGTTACAAGAAATGTTTGGTTAATTGTGACTAAGATTTTTTTTCTCGTCAGAGTCCATTTTGTACATTTACAAATCTACCAATCGACCATGCATTAATAATCTCTATCTATAAAAGGAAGGATATGTGTGTGTGTGTGTGTGTGTGTGTGTGTGTGTGTGTGTGTGTGTGTGTGTGTGTGTGTGTGTGTGTGTAACGAATGCACGGCCGCAATTTTCGACGGATTTGCACCAACATTTACGTGCGCATGCTCCAAGTTAGCGGAAAGGCCAAGACCGACTTTGCATTTCCCAACTTCCATCGATAGTGGAAATAATCAATTTTTTCATGCATCTACGGCAGTTTTCATGTAGTTTTCGGCCATTTTCTACTGGCCAGAGTGAGATCCAATAGCTGGCTGCCACGAATATACAGGAAGATTCTATTGGCCAGCGTGATGCAAAAAAATCGATAGCTGCATTCGTCAGTGGCAAAAATATAAATCTGCATGGCCCTTTACTCCAATTGGTTCATTCGCTTGCTAAAATCAACGTTGATTCTGATTCTGCAGAACAGGGTTGAGTGTGAAAAAGAATTTGTTGTTAACATTCTTTTTTCATTCGGTTTTTCCAGTTACGAATCCTTTTTTAAAGCTGATCGTTTTGTGCTCATTTTGTTTAGTTCTTTTTTCGTAACAGATTTAATGTTTAGTATAGAGCTTAGAAAAAATTCGCAGTGTGAGATAGGCAAGAAGTAAGGCATGTAGCAACATCAGCACGCCAAAGGGCACTCCTTTAAAGACAAGGAAGGGCAAAAATATTTTAAGTCAAGTGATAGCGATTGCTGTATGAGTCGTACGATTTTTGACTCAAGCCTGGGCAACGCCGGACATGCTGCTAGTGTTACTATATCTGGTCTGGTGCACCTGCTATTCTTCTCGAGGTTCTTGATAAAATCCAAAGAGGTATCTGCAAGTTAATTGGCCCTGACTTGGCATCTCGACTTCAGTCACTTTCTCAACGATGTGACGTGGCCTCCCTCTGTCTTTTCTATAAATATTTTCATGGAAATTGCACTGATCAGCTCTTTTCCCTGGTATCACAACTACATAAATTTAAGTTGGTTGGGATCTAGGTCTCATCCATTTACTGTTGAAATAGTTAAATATAACTGCGAAAACCAACAGTTAATTTGCTCGAACTTCCCTGCTGTGGAACTCCCTTCCGCTTAGTTGCTTCCCTGATCACTACAGTTTTCACAATTTTAAATGCATCGTCAATCGCTATTTTCTCGAATCCCGTTCATCCTTTATCCTTACTTTAATCTCCTCTACACCCAGTTTTGTCTCTCAGTTTCAGCCACTGTTACACATCCTGTTTATCTGTAGCACTGCCGTATTTGCTGGCTCCCGGATTATTGATAATTCCAATCCATTATCCATTACACCGCCTCACATTACAACATCTAGAATATATGTATGTTGCTGTATGTTGCTTATGTTCGGTGATCATACGCGAAACGACGTTTCAAAGTAATCAAGACGTAATTTTTCGCACGCCACACACACACACACACACACACACACACACACACACACATATATATATATATATATATATATATATATATATATATATATATATAATTCATCACCCACGAGGTCGCGTAGGTGCTTTTACACTTTGTCATGGCTGTTAAGTGTAAAATGGGCAGTTCTAGTAATTATATATATATATATATATATATATATATGTGTGTGTGTGTGTGTGTGTGTGTGTGTGTGTGTGTGTGTGTGTGTGTGTGTGTTATAATAAAGAGAAAGAAAAGTAAGATATATATCCCGGTGTTCTTATTAATATTTTTATTTTTACAAAACATTGCTCAATGCAAATCTATAGAGAATAAATATTATAAATTTATTCATTGAAAAAAATGGTTCCATCTCTCGTTCCAAATTCAATTATAGAATTAAAATTCGCTTGAAAATGAAACAGAACTCAGGAGTTTAATTTTATTCTATAACTTCTAGTTTTTAGCTTCTGTTTTTTGAAACATAGTAATTCCTGTGTAGCGATGGAATCATATTTTCAAATTAGTAATAGATTAGATTTGCATTGAGCGGTGTTTTGCAAAATTAAAATATTAATAATAAGTTCTTCCTCTTTATTATCTCTCTCTCTCTCTCTCTCTCTATATATATATATATATATATATATATATATATATATATATATATTACAGGAATATATATATATATATATATATATGTGTGTGTGTGTGTGTGTGTGTGTGTGTGTGTGTGTGTTTACACGTCATGTAAATAATCCGAGTTCCGTAGTATCTTTGTTTTTATTTTTAAGAAGACAGTTCTCCATACAGAAGTAGAGCTTATATTATATATATATATATATTTTAAATATGATTGTACATTATAAATAGACCGACAAGGTCCGAAGATTCTGAAGAGTCGAGAGATCCCATGGTGATGTCAAAAAGTGTATTCGGACTTAACTAAGGAAGAAACAAACATAATTCTCAGTGCAAAGAAATCTGTCCTCATCCATAATGGGACCAATGAATTAAAAACACAATTGACTATTTTGACAAAAAACAAATTGTAGTTCAGTGCAACAGGTTTGTATACGGAACAGCCATTTGGAAAAACAAATAAATAAAGAGATTAACAGATAGATAATAATAAACAAAACCTCTCGACACATAACGACTTGTCGTCGCGCCATGAAATATCCTTCGCTCTAAACTAACTAGACGGTGACCGCCACCATTAGCTTTGAAATATATACCCCAATCTACCTTGGCATAACCTTTCGAAAGGTGACGAATCTGTAGATAAGAATTAAATGTCTGAACGCCTAACCAAAATGGCCGGCCCAGCCGTTTCCATAGTAATTAATGTTGAAATGGACCATACTTATAAACACGCACAAACCACAAAATAGCGTAGTCCTAAATTTTCGCTTGAGGATGAAACGGGACCCAACACCTTGATTCAACTTAATTTTAATAATTATATTGATGGTTTCGGCTCTCGTTTTTGAAAACATGAGAACTCTTATGTAGCGAAGGAATCATAATTTAAAAAATATATTACAATATATATATATATATATATATATATATATGTACACACACACACACACACACACACACACATATATATATATATATATATATATATATATATATATATATATATATATATATATATATATATATATATATATATATATATATATATATATAATTACAGGAAGGTTCCCAATGCTCAAGGCCCAAGATCTATTCCCGGTAGAGTGTTATGTCAAGAGGCAGTTTATACTGAAAGAAGGTAAGATAATGTTTAATCCTAATCTTGAACAGGTTAAGATTGAGGTGATCGGGGAAACATCCTCTTGGGAGTCTGTTCCAAAGAGAAGTGCTTCGCTGGTAGAAG